AAATTGATATATGATCCGTTCGTAGGTACAGGCAGTTTTCTTTTAACATGTGCTCACTTTGGCGCGTTCACTTTGGGGTCAGACATTGACGGACGACAAATTCGCGGACAAGGTTTTATAAAATTTTGTTATATTAATTTTTAAGTGATCTTGATTAATACCCTTTTATCTTTCTTATTAATGGTCCATCATTATCTATTATTTATAAATTTGTAGCGAATAAATCTATAAAATCCAACGTAGACCAGTATAATCTAAGTGACAAAGTCTTGGATTCCTTAGTCTTTGATATACGTCATCATCCGTGGCGAGAAAATCTCTGGTTTGATGCAATTGTAACCGATCGTGAGTGATGATTTAATTATAATTGATTTGTGATTCAGAACTCAATTTGAAATTTTTATTGAAACTAGCACCGTATGGTGTTAGAGCAGGTGCAAAAACACTTGGTAGAAAAGATCCAACAAAACGGTCGAGAATAGTAAATGGTGTACCAGCTCACAAGTACATTACGAATATTAATTAGTTTTCACTTGCAACTTTAATTTAATCATTATTATATCCTTTTTTTTTAATAAAAAAAAAAAAAAAAAAAAGACGTGAAAATTATTATCCTCCAACAAAACCATACGAAATGTCCGAAGTGCTTATAGATCTCTTGGAGTTCGCCGCACGATATTTAGTAGTTGGTGGTCGTTTAGTATATTGGTTACCAACTATCGTTGACGAGTGTGTTATTTTCTCTAATATATTTATTGTCAAATTTAATATTTCAACTGATCTGAATATCTTAAAAAATTTTTGTTAAAAATAGGTATTCAAGTACAGATATACCCGCTCACCCGTGCATGATTCTGATTTCTAATAGTGAGCAAAATTTTGGGCAATGGAGCAGACGATTAGTTACAATGGAAAAATTTAAAGAAAATGTCGAGGGTGAACATGCAAATGTGAAGAATGCGAAAAGTTTAGATAATATGTCACTACTATTCCAAAAAAAGAAAGAAGGAAAAAGTGATAGAGATGAAAAAGATTTCGGAAAAACGTATGATAGTGACACTAATAAAAAGCCTGGACACTACTTATTTCGTGAAAAGGTTTGTCTTTTTTATTTTATTTTATTTTGTTGTATACTTTTTCTTTTTTTTTTTATGTTATTTAATTTGGGAATAGTATTTTTCTTTCTATTTCAAAGAAAAAACA